AATTTAGGTAAATGAAAACATCACTCTTTTCTTTTTTTTCTCTTTCTTAATGTTCACATTTGAGTACTGTAACTATACTATAACTCGGTACAAATATATTTTTGGTATCCCAACTATTTATTTTATTTTTCCTGGTTCAATTCTGTCGAAGAAATGGATGAGTTTTAAGTAGGATAGGGCGTGAAGGTTGAACTGTGAGAGTTGAGGATGTGGGGCCTTTGGGTTAGATGCCCTTACTGAGGTCTTTGGTACGTGTGGTAGTCCCGAAAAGTAACTTAGCTTTGTGGTGTGGTGGGTATGATTGGGGGAATCTTCTTGTTGTTACGGCTGTGATTTGGCACTTCAAAACTTTTATTGGAAGCCAAATTGCTATGGTGAATGGTGATAGAAGATAGATGCTACCTGCTAATATCTTCAACTGTTTTTGAACAGATTTGAACTGAACATAATAATGCCTTCAGTTGACACCGCCAAGATAAAAACTTTTTTGTTTTTTCCTTCCCGCTTTTTATTTGCTTCCGGCTGGTCTTTTTGTTGTTCTTTTCTTTGGAATTGTTTGTTTTTATAGAGGACAGTGATATTATCCAACACTTCTGGAGTATGTGTGTTTTGGTGTCAAGAGGTCCAAAGTCCAAGCTGACATCAGCTCCTCTTTTTGGTCTCTCTCGCATCACCTCCACCTAGTACTTGTTAGTTAGTTAGTTTCCTGATACAGTTGCGGGTGGTTCTTTCAGTTGCAGGACACCATTACACACACACACACAACAAATATATTATTAGAACGCTCACTGTTTCTTGCGAGCCTATAATTCACTGCTTCTCATCCCCGATATTTATGACTCGAACTACTTGTCTGAAATAACAACTGTAAAAAGCTTCCACAGGAAAAATCTACTCTCTAACCCAAAAGACCTCAGACTTCAGTTCTAAAATTGATGTGCGGCTGCTGTATACAAGAGATATAAGCATATATATATATGTATATATATATATATATGTATGTATATTATAAAGCCTCTATGCGCATATATGTTCTTTCTTTTAACAATTTCTGGTTCAAGTCCTGGTACAGGAAGTATGTTGTTTTACTTAACAGAGCTGTAATTTGTGAGTTAATAACAAACTTGTTTTAGGAGATTGGCTGTGACAATTTCTACCTGTTATTAGAGGCTACTTTCTTAACTGGCTGCCCTGTATTCTGTTCTAAATGTTCACATTCTCTATATGATAAAAATGAGGGATTTCTTGTATTATGATTAATTATTTATAATTCTTTCCTTTTTGTTTTTTCTTTTCAGGTGAATGGGTTGCATGCTCTGTAGGTGCTAATTTTACACCCCACATAATCACTGTTAATGCTGGGGAGGTAAGTGGCAGAAACGTTATTGTTTATAATATTAATTTTGGTTTGGATTATGTAGTTTTATAGATTCATAATTAGGTAATTACCAAAACATTATAGGCACATACTCCTCCGGTCCTTAATGTAAGACCCATTTAACTAATTTGATTAGATTAAAGAAGTTAGGTGAGTTAGTTAATTATAAGAAATGTGACACATTTTTCCTAAAACACTATAATTATCTTTCTTAATACCCCTCTCCCTCTCTATTTGATTATGGTTGAAGGAATATCCATAGGGTAATTTAGAGAAAATTGATAAATATGAAAAATAGGTCTTATATTTAAGACCAAAACTAACTCGAAAATTGGGTCCTATATTAAGGACCGGAGGAGTATTAAATAAAAACAATTCTGTAGTGAGAGAAACAACTTTGAGTAATAATGTCCATGTAAGCCCCAAGAGCATCCATTATTTTAACCCCTTGAATCTTTCCTCAGTTGCCACTTTGACGGCTTCATTTTCTATGGAGGTGAACAGTCCTATGTTGCATGCATTTATTTCAATGTATGCGGCGATAGCTATGCATACCATGATAGACAAGAGATCAATTACAGAAAGTATTCTCTTGCCTTCTTTTATAACTGAAAAAATGTTTATAATAACAAGCAGTCTTCTTTTGGTTATCTTAGGACGTTACTATGAAGATAATATCATTTTCTCAGCAAGGACCTCGAGCTATATGTATTCTTTCTGCAAATGGTGTCATATCAAGTGTCACACTTCGTCAACCTGACTCTTCTGGGGGCACATTGACCTATGAGGGTTGTGGCATTTCTCTTCTCAACTATTCTAACAGTATCAGCTTCTCTAACTCAGTGAAGAAGATATTACCATCTTTATTCTCCATGATTGGATAAGGAATGTTACTTTGACTTGTTATAATTGTTAAGATAATTGTTATTATCAGCATTTACGTGGAGATTACTTTTGCTGCTGTCACTGATAGGCTTTCATGATATGAGATTGCTGCAGCTATTTCTTCTCTAAATTTTTTTCCCGCTAATAGTATCTCTACTATTTTTCATGTCGTCATCTTTGGATTTGTAACTCTTCCTCAGAGCCTTGCAAAAAAAAAGAAAAAATGTTCTGCTTGATCCACACTCATCATCTTTGCCTCAACCTTCAGTAACCTTTCAATCTGTTCATCTTTTATGAACGCATTATTATATGATCTTTATCCTTCTAAAACCAGCGCCGTCTTTGTTTGTACAGGGACGTTTTGAAATTCTGTCGTTGTCTGGGTCGTTCATGCCAAGTGAAAGTGGGGGAACACGGAGCAGATCTGGCGGCATGAGCGTTTCTTTGGCGAGTCCAGATGGTCGTGTTGTAGGTGGCGGTGTGGCAGGTCTTTTAGTAGCAGCAAGTCCCGTGCAGGTACTATGTTTTTTTCGATTGCATCTTTGAAAAAGTATGTCATCACAAATTTACTGATACTTATGATCTTCTTTTTCCAACTGATTGATATGTATCAGGTAGTGGTAGGAAGCTTTCTGGCTGGAAACCAGCATGAGCAGAAACCAAAGAAACAGAAAATTGAGGTGATATCCACAGCCATACCAACCGCTGTTGTTCCCTTGTCAGCTGTCACTGATCCAGTCCCTCTCCTCACCTCTCCGTCTTCCTTCCGCGGCGAAAATTGGTCCACAATTCCGGCAGATAACCGGAATAACACCACCACCAACGCCAACACCAACAATAATACTAATGGTAATAATGATAATAATAATAAGCCAGCTGATATTAATGTGTCATTGTCTGGAGGGTAATTGCATCCCATCTGCCATCTATATTTGTTGCTGACGACGTTGTAATGGAGCTCCTAATTGATGAGTTTGTTTTTCTATTGCTTATTGTGACTGTAAGCTTATTGACAGTATCTTAGGACCACCTTGTTGTTTTCCGACATTTACAGGCTTCCTTTCCCTGTACAATTCAGTTAGGTGATTAGATCTGCCTCTGCAGCCAATGTGTTGTCGTGTTAGGTATTCGAGTCACGTTTCTTGGGAGTGATAGATTGTGAAATCCAAACCATTCCTTTTATGTGAATGCGTTTCTTTGTGCTTTTAGTAGCATCAATGGGTTCCACTGATCTCAATCGTCGGATGTCTCTTGAAAGTGATGTTTTGGGAGCACATGGAAATATGCAGTGAAGTTAGGTTTTGGCATTTCAAGGTGCCACCTTATCACTTATCAGTTAGGGTCAGCCACTTATAACTGCATCAAACATGATACGAAATTCGTTTGATAAGACGACCAACTTCTCAGGCTGCTTATCTCGCCTGCAAGTTTCTGAAAAAGCGGAAGCAGAAATTCTTCGCAATTTCTTGATTTTCCATTTCTTTTAAAGTCTATCCGCTTGTTCTGCTTGCACCCCTGCACGAGGCTTCTCCAGAAGTGATGCTGCTTCCTCACTACTATTAAATTCAGTACGTGAATACATAATATGAAGTTGGAGACATAAATAAAATTTAATATAAATGAGGTGAAAAGATCTACGCTCACACCACTCATATTACAACTTTCTCTTGTTAGCCCATAATTATGAACAATAATTATAATGTCGATTCTCGACTTGGTAATATCGTTTACTCTCATGATGGCGTTTTCGGTGGTAGATACGATATAATTGTAACAATTGTGGGCATAATCGTGCGAGGTCGCAGAGCTTCTTCAGGTGAATGGGATAATTGGCAAGGAGTTTAAAGCTTAAGTGAGTTGATGATTGAGGCACTAATTATCCAAATGGATTATTATCCTGGAGGAATTAGGAAAGGCAGCATAACATACTAAAATCGAGAGCCATGATTTGGATGAAAATAACTAAAATGCCAAAGTTGGAAATTTTTTTAAAAAAAGAGCTTATTTTTATCTTCTCCCCCGTTCTAGATTTACCAAATCTATATCCGATACTAGTATCGTTGACTCCAAACTTCCAGAAATTGAGGCGACGATGCCAAATATATGCAATAGATGCTTAGTCATGCTGCTCATCTTCGTCACTCTGTGTCTCTCTGTCTCTCTCTATGATTTCCCCCTTTTTTTGGTTTCTTTATTTTGTTTTCCTGTATTTGTATAGTCAAGATTGGCCCAAGGGAAAATGAGTATTTGTAGTTTCATCGGGGAAAATATTGTTTTGGGGAGCTGTTTCATATCAACTAATTTATAGAACACTCTCGGAATGACTAAGTTTTCGGGGAAAATCTTGGGCACTCTTCAAACAACCATACTAATTTGATTTGTTTCTATCGATTCCAGGGACAGTCATTGCTGAAAGAAAGACAGGGCGAAGCAGCACAATCTTATAGTCATTTGGGAAGATAGTTGAAACATGACTATCTTTTTTTCTATAAACTCGTTGTTCCAAAACAATGAGAACGGAGAAAAGGAACCTGAAAGACAACGACGGAGGACATTAGGGTTAATTTTCCGCCGTTAAGAATATATTGATCAGTCGCATGTGATTTGTAGTACCTTAGTCTTTTAGTCTTTAGTCTAATCATCATTTTTATGGTCATTTGAAAGAAATATTAACTCCTACGTCTTGATTATAATTCCACCAACGATAATTAATTGAGACTCTGACAACAAAAGTAATTTCATTTTCAACAATTAATCTGTAATTCTTTTAAAACTAGAAATATTTAAATGCCTTTAACATTACTTATACTGAGAATAAAATCAATCTAATCTATTATTACCGTGATGGGAAGTTTAAAAAAATAGTATGCAATTATGTGAAGTACTATCATCATCGAATAACATATTTTCAAAAGACATCTAGATGGTTCAGGGAATAGAAAGTCCGTCTGGGAGTCAAACACGGACTTAATTTAATTGGTTTACGTCGACCGCGAAAAGGGAGTGAAACATGATTCTGCAACGACTCCGATGCAAGTTTGTAACTCGGAGAGAAGAAAGAAAGAGATGAGAGAGCAAACGAGAGGGAACTTGATTGAGAGACGATTGAAAGAACATTAGGACTCGAGAAAGAAGCAGAGAAATTAGTCTGACAAATGCAACTGCAAATACAAAGCAGGTAACCACATCTATTTATAGGCATTAACTGTCATCTTCTAATATTCTCCCCACTTCATCATTTATGATGACATGATTACCCAACAGTACTCCCACTAAATGAAACCCTTGCCCTCGAGGGTTTCTTATCACAAAATTTGAAAATTTCTGTTGAAATTGGAACAGGGGCATCCAGGATGCTTCCTCGTCAGGTAAGCCCTTCGACACCAAAATTTCAGTAATAATACGTCCGTTACGTCAACCAACCCTCTTGTTCAGAATCCTTTTTGGTTCTCAGCTTGTAGAGAGCTCTGACCAAGGGAGGGTGTCCCTGTTTCACCAAAGGAAATGGACATAGGTTTAACAAGGAGACATGAAATGTCGCATTTCTATTAACCAAGAGCCTATTACATTTAATCCATAATCCATCTATTTATCGTCATCAGTTGCTAAGGGTCATCACTCATAATTACCCCGACTAAACCCCATAACTAACATTTTATTTATCACAACATCATATCACTGTTCGCACGTTACTGTTTGGCCGAAATAAAATAACGTAAAAAGTTAAAAACACGCAATTGATTAAGAATCCCCTAGTTTCTCCTGGCCGCAAGTTCTAACTGTAACTGATAAGAGATTATACACATTCCAGAAATGATGAAAGGAAAAAAAAAACTTAGAGAAATTGTGATTCAGCAATATTCTCAGTAATCTATGACGAAAGCCGCAAATTCCTATCCAAGGCCAGCTCCGGCATCCTTGCGGGGCGCATCAGCCTTGATGCGGGGCGGCCTGACAATCCGATCAATAAGCCCATATTCAAGAGCCTCCTGTGCATTGAAGCGTTTCATCCTGCTCAGGTCTTTGGTTATCTGAGTAGATGCAATAACGTTAGATTTCAAGCCAATAAAACCAACGTTCTCAAATACATGAATAATCAGATGGACACCCAAAAGACCAACATTGAGACACTCATTAGAAGGATATAAACCACAAAAATAAGTCATAGAAACCCAATAGAGATTGACAAAGCATGCTAAAAGCTTTTCCATAGAACTTTACATTCTTGTTCAGTGCGTAAGTTGGTAAGGCAAAAACGGTCATGAATTTGGCAGAGAGAGGCTAGCCTGATCATGACGTTAGTCATTCAGTTCGTTTATCTCATGATTTTCATTGAGCAAACTCACCTTCTCAACAGGCTGACCTGTTTTACTGGCCAACTCATTGAATAGGTAATCTCTGATTCTAAGAAGCTCATTTGCTTCATTACGGATGTCATCAGCCTGGCAAATTGAGTGTCAGTTAGCTTCAACAAGAAATTCCCAGTCATTGATGTGAAAGCGGATGAATGATGACAATAGTGATCTCAGAGTTAAGGCAGTCTCACCTGACCCCGGGCAGATCCTGCTGGAGACTGGAGAGCAATTCTTGAAAGAGGCATTGCAAAGCGGTTGCCCTAAAAGCAGTGGGAACATTATGAAAGGATATTAGACCTTCAGTTGTCTTTCAAAACAATTGAGGTCAAAAGCCTCAACAAAAGGAAAAAACATGAAAATGAATGCAAGAACACAAAAGGAACTCGGCCCCAAAAAAAAAAAACAAGGAATCAGAATACTAACATTAATAACGGGAAAGCAACTCAAAGCATACTAATGTCTCTTTTATGTTTGTTGCAAGGGGAGGATGAGTAATGGAAAAAATGAGGCGAAGGGGAATTGCACAAGGGAAGTAAAATTAATGGTTTCAAAATCCCTATTCAAAGACATCCTGCAGCATCAAGAGCTCACACATAGCCATGGGAGCAGAGAAAGGGATTTCTTTCTTCTGTTTTGGTTACAGACTCTGATTTAATGTCTCAGTCAAAGGATTGGTACAGGTACAGATTAATGAAAAAGATAAAAACTCTTCCGTAAAGTAGCACAACCATAAAGGTCAAGCAGCGTCCATTGTAAGTGGGGATTTGGGAATCTCGATACATAAACCCCTCCTATGACAGTCAAGTCTATAGAAAGTCACATTTAAGGGTCAAAAACTATCTTAATTTTGTACCTTTTCCCCAGCGGCAAGAAGAAATGCTGCCAGATTATAGGCATAACCAACACAATGGGTGGCAACAGGACTTTGCAAGCTCTGCATGGTGTCATATATAGCCATGCTTGGCGTAAGCTGCAATAAGTTGCAATTTGAGCTGATGTAACTGAAAAATAACAAAAAAAGAAAAACAAAACAAAAAACAAAATCTTGAATCACTGAAGACTCACATCTCCACCAGGACCATTAATGTACATATAAAGCTTCTTGGAATTATCTACACTATCAAGATATAGCATAGTTGCCAGTATCTGGTTGCTGAATTCTTCATCTATTTCTTCTCCAATGAAGATAACACGTTCACGATACTGCATACAAGAATTCACTGGTTTTCTTAGGGGGGGGAAAACACGCGCACTCACACTCCAAAAGGGTTAGGGAGATATAGAGGAAACTGGATGTCCGCATTAACAACTTACAAGGGCATTCCACAGATCAACCCACTGCCAGGTTCCCTCACCAGGCGTTCTGTAGGGCACTCTAGGGGTCCCTATGGGCATCATCTGAATTCGCGCCCTTGTTGCTCTGTGGTTTTCAGACCTGGAAACGTGAAAATTTATGCTGCCAGCATTAGTCTATACACTCATACAATACACAACATTCATGAAGAAAACTCTCATGCAAGGAAAACCATGAAGGATCGAAAGTGCCATGCTTTTGCATTTACAGTATTTCATAAGAACCAGGGATACAGGGAAATAAAATGAACCAAGAACACAGTAGCCCAAATAATCGCAAAGCAACCAGCCAACCACATTGAAGTGAGCATACTAGGAGTAGGACACGGTTGCTTCCGACAAGGTTTACAATGCAAAAGAAAGGAAAGATAGCTGAAAACATTTGTCCCTCCTATCCAGAGGTGGCAGTCTGTGAAACGCAAGAATTCACTTCTATGGCACTAACCATCTAATTTATTTCTTTCTGGTGTATGGTAATGAGTGGAGAAGAGCATACATCAATTTTTTTTCCCTTCTAAAATCAAAGCTTAGCTGAAATCCATCAGAGCATCATACCAGCGTCGCCCCCTAATAATCAGATAGAAAAGAAGGGGAAGAGGGGAGCTCAGACCAGAGGATTACCGCCACTGGAGACTCTTGTGAACTTTTCCATAAAACTCAGCGGTCAAGTTAGGTTTCCCCGCTCCAAAAGGACCTACAGTTACATTACAATCAGGATTCAATAAACAAGGCTAGATACGGTTAGAAACCACACAGGAACCAAAAACAAATATAACGGAACGGAAGCGAGCATACCTGCGGATTGAAGTTTCAATCCCGAATAGAGTTTTGTGCTGCAGCTGCTATAGAAAACAAACAGGTAACATTAATTGAACAACAATTCCAATTGCCACAAACCACTGCAGATAAAAGACGGGGAGATAACCTCGGAGGAGCAGAAATCGGTTGCGCGGAAGCAGCTGTATAGGGTGCAACCGCCATTTAAAATAAAGAAGCGGAGAGCGACAACGGAAGAACAGGGAGGAGAGTCTGTAAGAGAACTAAGATAGGGAAGCCTCTAATGTCGCGCCCAAATCGCCGTCGTCGTAAGTGGAGATGGAATAAAACGACGAATGCGCTATCACCCGTCCTGCCACAAAAACGCGTATGTCGTTTGGGTTCTCGTCCCCACCTTTATCCTGGTTCTTTTTTTTTTTTGGGGCAACCCCCCTATCTTTTTTTTTTTTTTTTACCTTGCTTCCTTTATCGTTACTCAACATTCGCCTTAGTTATTTTCTATCTTATGTTAACAGCATGCGTTTAGTTTGTTATTATTTTACAGGAAAAATTACAAATATGAGAAATGACGGATTCATTTTAGTGAATGACAATTTCAGTAAACCAAATTGTAAATTGGCTAAGAGTATGCCAAATGACAAGTTGATTGTGAAAAATGATAAATTCACTTTAATGAATGACAACTTCAGTAGACCAAATTACAATTTGGTTTAGGGACATTTGAGACATTTCACAAAGATTTCATATTTACAATATAAGACGGGTCTTTATTTACTATTTTTTAAATTAAGGGTCCCAAATTGTAATTTCACATATTGGGAGGTCTTTATTTGCAATTTTCCTATTTTATGGGAAATATTTTGTATTATTTAAATATATAATTTATAATTTACTGAATAATTTAAATAAAAAAATCGCATGATTTGATATTTTTAATGGAAAACGATGATAAATTGTTAATTATTACCTCTGGTTCTTAATACTACCTTCGGACCTCAATATAGCACTTCATTTGACTTTTATTTTGATTTTAAATATAAAATCCTAATCAACTTTATCTCTCATGTTTATGCAATTTTTTTTCAAGATAATCCTTTTAATAATATCAGTTCTAACCAATAAATTTGATTAGTAATGATATTTTAAAAAAAACAACACATATTTATTACAAATAATTAACTTAACTTATTTTCTTAATCTACTCAAATTAGTTAATTAGTTATTGTATCTAGGACCGGAGATAGTATATTTTAAAATGGACCGTTTTATACCAGTCTGATTGAAAATAGATTTCGTTGAAAAGAAATCCTCCTGCAAGGAAGAGGAAGATCAGTTATTGGCATTTTAGGATTGAACGGTGAAACAACATAGCAGTCTATGATCACATTGTATGATCGACCTATGATCTATGTCTATAATATAGATATAAATAAGGTAAAAAGCAACTTGAGGCTTAATATATAGAAAACTAACTTGTGAATATTCAATTAATTTAATTATTAACAATAAATGTATTGATTTTTAAAAAAAAGCTTTTTTATAATTATGTGCATTAAAATTATCTTTAATAAAATATTTTGACTTTGCACAATCAATAAAAATACTTTTAAAAAAATATAAATTTAAAAACTAAAGTAAATTATGATCTTATGTTTCTGACAAAAATAAACTCTCTTATATTATTTGAAAATAATCAGAATCTAATATAACTCGCACGTAGCAAAGCGGGGGCTACATTACTGATGTCCGATGGCTTGCTTGGTCACTCTTTTTTCGCGTGGTTTCCACATTTTTTATTTGAAAAAATGAAAAGGTATAATGTTGTTATGAAAATGAAGGGAATTGCTATGGTCCATCGTCCCTCTACACTTATCACTTGTCAAATAACTCCCGTTATTCTTGTAGTTCATCTTCTCACTCATATTCATGATTTTCATTATTTACTACTACTCCCAGTCTTTAATATAGAATCTCATTTGATTTTTATTTTGATCCTAAATATAAGAATCTAATCCACTTTGTCTCTAATCTTTATGTATTTTTTTCTAAGATAGCCTTTCTAACAATGGTAGTTCTAGCCAATATACTTGATTAACAATAATATTTTAAGAAAGACAACACTTATTTACGACAAATAACTAACTCAACTTCTTTTCTTTATCTCTTCAAATTAGTTAATTAGTTTTTATAATTAGAACTGAAGGTAGTATTTGTCATTTAAATGGATGGGATTTTTTATATGTGAGGTTATGCATATGAATAGACGATGCGATCGGTAATAAGAGTACACCAAATTCTGTATTTTGTATCTATTCTCTCCTTTTCATACTTCTATGTCACTTTTTTTTTTTTTGGTGAATAATACTTCTATGTCACTTTTTGGAAACAAGGGATGGCATGCTTGACTTTGAGTGCGTCCCTCCTAGCATGGAACCCACTGACGAGCAGGGAAGGGTCGGAAGAAAAAACTAATGCCTCGTTTGGTATGATGGAAGAGTTTTTGATGAAAGTGGAAGTGGAAATAGAAGTGGAAGTGGAGGTAGAAGTGGAAGTGGAACTGAGATCAAAAGTGTGTTTGGTAAGATGATGGAAGTGGAATATAAATTTTAATGAATATATGTAATTTTTCTGTTAAAAGACCAAAATACCCTTATTGCTATCTTCACTCCACCCATCATCATCACCCTTTGCCATCGGACCAGTACCCATCCACCACCATGCTTTCAAGCCACCGTCTCCTAGAACTAAATAGCATAGTCTAATCACCCAAAACTCAGACACCATAAAAAGGAAGCAAGAAACAAAAAGTCCAAATCGAAATGGCAAAATTTTTATAACCAAAATTAAAACGGCAAAATCATGGAGAATTGCCAGCTTCAAAATCGAAATACTCCTTCTTCTCTGTTGGATTCTGCATCATTCTCCATATCACAGCATCCTCATTACTAGAAATTTCCATCAAATGGCTAAAAGAGATAACCATTAAAAAAGGGCAGATTTGAAATATGAATCCACTGACTCCTCCTGCCAAGACAGCCTCCAAACATTCTCCGGTTGCGTTAAAGGCTCCAAGCTTTTCGTCAGCCCCATTGACTCGGCGGAAATCATCACCATCCGCGTCTTCTATGCTGAATATGAAGAATGCCACCTACGACGTCGACTCCGGTGAAGACAACTTCTCAGAAGGACGAAAGCTCACGACAAATCTGGATCTGGAAGAACTCGCGACAGATCTGGAATTGGAAGAGAGGATGCGATTTTGCAGGGAATGAAGGCTGTCGTCATCACCGGAGTCGTCGCTGTATACCGTTGTCCTCGCCGGAGTCATCGTCCTCGCCACCATCGCTGTAAAGGACCATCATTGCTGGCGGAGGGAAGGAGAAAGAGCAAAGGGTAGAGAAGGAAAATGACTCATGGAACTGGAGGTGGAAGCCGGTTCCATGGGGTTAGGCAGGGAACTCACTTCCATCGATTTTGATGGAAGTGAGTTCCATCTGGAACTGGGTTCCGTCACACCAAACAAGTTAAAATATGGGTTCCGCTTCCACTTCCACTTCTCAGCCTTCAATTCCCTGCTACCAAACGGGGCATAACGCAAAAGTCATTTGGCATTGCAAGCCGATTTGTTTGGGCTATGCAACGGCCCATGTTGAATACAAGAGGTTATGGCAGAGCGTCACCTCCTCTGGTGGACTGGGCCTATAAATTATCTTACTTCCAGTTCTAAATATAAAAACTAGTTAACTAATTTGAGTAGATTAAAAAAATAAATTAAGATAGTTATTTATAATAAATAAGTATTGTCTTTTCTAAAATATTCATGCTAATTAAGCTTATTGGCTAGAACTATCACTATTAAAAGAACTATCTTGAGAAAAAATGAATAAATATAAGAAACAAAATAAATTAGAGTCTTATATTTAGGACCAAAATAAAAGTCAAACAAAATTTTATATTAAAAACTGGAGGTAGTACAATGGATCCCGCTCTAACTTCCTTAGAAGAACGTTTAGCTTTTTTTTCCCCTTCTTTTATTAAGTACATGTATTCTTTTATTAGAAACAATTAAATAATGAACATATTTTTTAGCTGAGATTAGGAACTAACACTTTTCATTAAACCTAATGCATGATTCTAAGTTGATATAGCTCGTAAAAATCCTTTCAACTCCTACGACAAAATTGTTCATAGAATATTTCGTCACATTTAAAAGTCCACATGGCCATCTACAATTAAATCCAAGTTCTTGAGAACAAGGCATCCTTCCCCATTATTATATTATGTGAACTTAAAAAGTTGTATGTTATTCGGGTTGCATAACGAATTGAACCGTCTGCACCATACACCTAACCACTAAATTATAAGAATGATCAGTTGGTGAATTCAATTTTGAGCGTCCAAATATGCCCTTTCGAGCGCACACACGAATAGAGGAGCAATGGAACATTCTATCCTCTCCTGTTTATTGAAATCTCCCATTTTGCGGGGCCCATATATTTTATGTAAAATTCGAACTTGTCCCGAGAAGGGGAGAAAACTAAATTGGAATGAACAGCAGTGAATATGCTAAAGGTACCGGATAACTTTACCAAAAGCAAAAGCCAGTTTTCAAATTAATGTGAATAAATAACGAAATCCACAGAATGGTCATTTGTTATAAAAGGAATTTCGTTACAATAAAAATAAGTGTGGTACTATCCTAACTCTCCATGAGACATGAGCTGTCCAACCCCAATGCATGCACGAAACTATCATTTACGAACGTACAGGGTACGATCTTATTTCTACAAAGTACAATCAAAACCCCGCAATTCATCAAAAAGTTAAGGAAATAGTCATTTGCCCTATACCATACAGGCCTGGCAATTTTGTTGCACTGGCTGGGGGTACTTCCAAGTAGCACTCCACAATATGAGCAACTGTCTTCAATTATTCATCATCGTCTAGGGACGTGTAGATCATCCTGCAGCAAAACATTCAACAAGAATTATATCATCCACTTTAATGGAGAGCTTAGGATTAGTATGGACAAACATAGGCCTATTCATTAGTCCCCATACCAAAATATGGAGAGGAAAAGTATGAAAACAAGATAGAATAGTTTGACAAGCCGTTGCTTTTTCTCCCAAGATAGCGAATTGAAAATCTCGGTAACATCAACAAGATGCTCTCTTCGTCTGTACCTGATGAGACAAATCAAAGATGCCTTAGCAGGATTCCAGATGGGGGGGGGGGGAGGGGAAGGAAGCTTTAGCAGGACGCTAGGGCCACACAAAATTCCAGCGTATAAAGATATCAAGTTTGATTATTTATTGCATAAAAGAGGTAGCTTTAACCAAAAGAACTATTCATCTCTGTCAATCCTGTAATTAAGGTGCGACTATTAAACAGGCTATTATGTAAGAGACTAGAATGCCATACAATTGTAACTACAAGACAGACAAATAAATAATTAAATGTACAAGATTCTCCAACTGGGAACTCCTGCGTCAAAATTTTTTTTTTGGGGGGGGGGGGGGGAGTTGTGCAGCTGCGAAATGTGCCCCAAGCCCAGATTTGTTTTGGCAGCTAATGATATGCTTGTCTTTAACCTTAACTGCTTCAAGAGCTGTAGTCATTCAATTTTCAGACTTCATATCTTTTCCCTAAGTACGTGATTGAAAACCATTAATAACATAAAAAATGTAGCAACGCATGCTTATCAACTCTGGATCCATAAACCATAACGTAGGTTGCAGCCATCAGATTGGTTTGTCCAATTCCACATTAAGTTACTACTTCTGTTAAGCAGTCACACTCACACTCCATCTAAATGCTGCAGAATGCAAATACCCAGAATTCAATAACTCTCTTTTCAACTAGTGGTCATACATGATTTGCAGCCCACCCCTCTTTTCTTTTCCAATTTTTTGGCCACATTCTGCCTTTAAGGGTTCTTGACACATAATAACCAGTCACAATATTTGGAACAAAAAACAAATTTTCCCTGTTATTTGTATATAGGGAGAGAACTTACGATCTCACATTGTAGTATAGGTACGGAGCACAGAAAAGTGACATAACCCAATGCCCTGTCACAAGGTAGAACAAGCAAAGGACACCTTGCATGATAAACTCAGGGACAACAACTCTGTTTATCCGAGATGAGGAGTCATAAGGATTTATATAGTCAAATTCGAGGTCAGCCAAACACATCAGCTGCAACAGATTTTGAACCATGTTAGCGTACGCCACATAAGATCTAGAGCAACATACAAAATGTAATTCAGAGGAATTATGAAAACCTAACAATCTTCAAAAGGCTCTGAAGCACAGACAAAGAAGTAAGGAATGTAGACTTAGAAACACACGAAACTCTTGAAGTATAAATCACAGCAAAAGAACTTGAGAGTGTAAGAAAAAAAGAATCCCAGCATCATTGTTTCCTTCATCTTTATCAGATTTCATGAGTACCTCCTCACCCCATCAACCATCAAATTTCGGTGAATAGAACTTTACCTAAAACTAGAGGAAACAATAATTCTGTAATGTGATTACTCGTAGAAACACACAAGCTTCCATGTACTAAACCGTTTGTCTATTTACTAGAAGTCCTATATCCACATATTTACGAACAGCAATCCAATTCCAACTGTGTATCCAACATCTTGTTTAAAAAGTATGAAGTTTTTCGCTCTGCTAGTCCATAGCTCAATGTAACACATGAAATATTATTGATTACAGGAACCGAGCTTCATTTTACATAGAACGTCTATTGAACTTCCACTTTACAATTGCAAAAATCAAGAAGTGCAGACTATCTGTCGATCTATGGACTACTACACATAGCTTGCAAAGAATGATTAGATACAGTTCAACATTGCCTGATATGGTACCCTACATTCCCCTGAAATCGTGGACCAAAACAAGGGAGCGATGTGATTTGATTTTTTTTTTCATGAAAAAAATCCCCTCAATAGTTAATGGAAAAGTTCTATTGTAAGATCCCAAAAAAAAAAAAAAAAAAAATAAAAGCATTTACACAATAAAATTATCAGTGAAGACTCCAATGTTTACTAATTATAATCACCCTTTTGCGGTATTATCAGCTGAGTGAGCACCGATGTTGGTTATTGGGGTGCCAAATCACGTTCGTTACCTAAACCAAAAACTACATTTTGCAAGGAAATATGGAATAGGGAGAATCCTTCCCAGGTTTTTTTCCCTTCAGAGCAACTAATTGTCATTTAAAAATGTAATCAGGATTGGCTGGGGATAACAATCTGGAATACAATCCAGTTCAAAAAGAGGCACATAATTCGAATAATGCGTAGTCGAATGACGCATGAATTGCTTCAGATTTAAAAGATGGATTGACATAAAGGAATGATATATATGTATACGCAGCTAGGGTTTGCGTGGATTGACCTGGTAGGTGACGATGACGAGTAAGGCAATAAGGAGAAAGAAGGAGATAAGCCACGCAAATAGATCGCCCATGGTCTTCCCTCACCTCCTTCTTTAACTCGCGCTCTCTCTGGTGCCTTCCCTCCGACTGCAGTTCCGGCGGAACGCGCTGCTTTCATGCGGTGGGAAGTGCGCACGTTAGGGGTGGCGCGCACGGTTGTCGATTTGAGTTATGAAAACTGCAAACAAGACGGGAAAGTAGCCCGAGACAGCTTAAAGCCGCTCAAAACAGAATTCCAGCTAGTCGGGGAAGCTAAGATTCCAATCCAAGCCAGGCAAGCCACCCTTTATTCCCCTTTTGCTCTTTGAATTTTCTAGCCGATGAAGCGTGGGCTTGATCGTCGTGAATAAATTACTGTATTAAATAGTAACAAGTGCCTATCTAATATCTAGAGTAAATTTCACAAAAATACATCTAAAATTTCAAGTGTGAATGGCTGCAAAAATTAAATATGTTGAAGTTTGCCTTATTATTAAAATGTAATAAATAAAACTAATTTAAAATTTTAAAATTTAAAGTTTTTTTGTCAAGATTCTCCCTAATAGCTACTCCAATGTGAACAATATTTGTTTTTGCCAACGTCCAATATTCAATATTTTCTATTTGCATAAATCCATTTTATTTATTCTGAGAAATAATGATTAACAAAATATTTATTTCATGAAACTAACTTTCTTTCATCTGCAATAATAATTTAATTATTGCGCAGTAAATCTAAATAACTTGTTTATAAGGACTCTTACTTAAAATTTAACTCAATTAGTTCACTTTCTCAGATTATTCAAATTCCACAGTGTGTAACTGTGATTGAATATAACTTTTTTTTAAAATCATCTAAAGTATTTTTAAGATAATTACTAAATTATTTATAAAAACAATTCATAGTGATTGGTTTTTCTAGTAAAGTGTAGTATCGGCAATTTTAAGGTAGGTTTACTTGGTATGTTTCGACTATTTTCATTTCAATAAATATGTTTAGCTCAGTATTGTTAGTGCGTTTGAATAATAGTTAGATCTTCAGCCTGAATTTCAAAACATGCATCGATTTTCAAATTTAGATGTGACTGATTCTATCAAATATTATCAACTGTCTTTGGTGAAATCATATAGGATAAAAGGTATTGAGCAACGAGTTTAGAAGATAAATAAGCTATACAGACAAATATTTATCTGTTTTTTTATTATTAAGAAGATAATATGAAAAAGGAGGTTAATAGCTACACTTGAGTTATTTTAGAAGATTCAAATCGTAGAGAATATATTTTGAAAAAAACTATTTTGGGTAAAATATATTTTATGAAAAAATAATTTTTAAGTAAAATAGATTTTATGAAAAAAAAGCATAGGTTAATACAAATTTTAGTCCTTCAAGTTTACCTTTACTTTAATTTTTATCGCTCAAATTTTAAATAACATGTTTTGGTTTCTCAAGTTTCTTTTTATTTAAAACATTGATCGGTATAATCCAATAAAAATTTGAACCATCTGACCTACCAAAGTCTATGATTTGAAACTTGAGGAAGGATAAACTTGAGGATCAAAGATTATTTAACCCAAAAAATATTGCAGGAAGTTGTTCTCCCTTCTACCAAAACCATGGCTCCCAAATAGCTAGCCAGATCGTAGAAAGTGAACTTGACTATTGAAAAGCTAATAATTAACGAGTAAATTGAACATTTTCAACCAAACTGGCAACAAGGATTGAAACAAAGATGAAAGGAGATCAACTCATCGCAGGTCATTTGGTCAAAGCAGTTCAATGCCCAGTATATAAAAATAAGAATAGCGATCTGAAATTAGCTTACTATCTTTTCCAGTTATCACGTTTATCATAAGTTAATAATTATCGAATGAAAATATAATTCGTCAAAATTCATTTTAATTGTTCTCATTGACTCAGATATATATTAATATATCTAAATAGCAATTTCTTACTTACATACAAGAGGTGTGTATATTTTTTAAAAAAAATATATATTGAAGCTACACACACATTATATTATTCGCCAAACGACTGTATCTTTTGTATAATTTATTGGAATATTAACTGTGCATCACGCGGCTATGAGTCGTCAGATATTAGTGAGTAAATTGCATTAAAAAAATATTAGTGGGTAAAAGTAAGTACTCGTCAGAAAGAATGAATGAGCTCACTTAATTTATTTCCACACATTTTTATTATTTTATTTTTCATCTCTTGACGGATTAAATTATTATTTGTGTGTGTGTGTTCATCGCATATATGGGGCTTATAAATTGAACGGAGTGCAAGTAACACGCTACTAGTACATTTTTGTTGTAGATTTGAGACAATTCTAATTTTAAAATTTTCTGTTTTCGTAAAGTGCTTGATTTCTGAAATAACTCAAAATATAATTTTGTCATTAAGAGATAAATTTCTTTTAATCCCATCTTCCAAATAATTTTCTATGAAAACATTCCCTCTTCAATAAGATTACTTCCAAAAATTAATTAAAACAGATTTTTGTGAACTTATGACCTACGCATAAGCTGGATAATATTTTAAAAACTTATTTCGATAAATTTTCTTTCAGGTGATTTTTTTTTTTTTACCGAATCAAATGACACCATTATTGCCCTTTGACTTTGAAAATTTAACCTATTCAACAAAAAATGAATAAATTGGATTATTCATCATTATAAGTTTCCAATAATCGCATGGAGAGTTGAAAGATAGTCACATCAATATACCATCGACCATTAATATATAAATGAATAGGCAATGCAGTCATTCTATTCTAGCTTAAGATTACGTTACGTATGGGCAACATATACGTATTCGCAGTTGCTATATACTACCTCCGGTCCTAATTATAAGACCCAGTTGACTTATTTGAGGGGATTAAGGAAGTAATTAAGTTAGTTATTTGTAATAATAAGTGTTGTCATTCCTAAAATATCCTTGCTAATTAAGTATATTGGCTAGAACTATCATTATTAGAAGGATTATCTTGGAAAAAAATGCATAAATATAGGAGAGAAAATATATTGGGGTCTTATAATTAGAACCAAACAAAAAATCAAACGGGGTCTTATAATAAAGACCGGAGGTAGTATGTCCCTATTAATCTTTACTGTGTCAGACCAATTTTATCATATGTCCCCAAAAGGACAAGTCACTATATATATGATATGTCCATATAATTATCAATCCATCTTTCTTTTTTTAAAAAACAAGTCTCTGCAGAAAGAAGTTTATCGTTAGAACAATACATACTTGAAAGATAGTCACATCAAATCCATCGATCTTCGCAGAGGCACATCATGCGTAGATGAAAACTTGGTCCTATTTAATTATTTACATCAAACCGGAAGCAGTAAATCGTCTCATCATACCAATGCAACGTAGAGGCTAACAGATTAAAGGCACCTGTGTGTGTGCGTGCAGCTAAATATCTTAATTATTTAACAGCTACGGATAGTTCCCAGAATCAAAGACGACAAGGGCTTGAGGAAACAAGGACATACAAATTCACGTGGGATAATTATAAGGGGAGATGGACGAACAGCATCAATGGAAATGCAGAATCCTTACTCATATTGGCTTGCTCGGAGCAAGAAGAGGCAGTGGAGGGCTTTGAACACAGGAAGAAATTCCTTGACCCCAAGTTCTTCAGCTTCTCGTTAGCATTCAAACCTGCAAAACACCGATCAGCGCAGGCGAACGGGAAAGATTGTGAGAATCGAGAAATATAAAATGACTCGATAAAGCTAAAAGGAAGAGAAGTGAAAGTGATACTTTCGAGCCAGAAGGGAGAGTAGTGGAGAGCATAGTGCTTGGGATCCTTAAGATTCAAGAAAGGCCTCCTCTTCTCTTGGTTATAAATGGCCAGGGCTGCCTTGATCAGGTCGGAGACGGTGTCGTCTGGGGAGATCAGAACCTGCACCGGACCCAAGCTGTTCTCGATGGTCACGTTCACTAGGACCTTGGTGAGTCGGAGGGAGTCGGTGTTAAGGAAGGGCGGCGACGGAAGGGGGAGATTGAGGGAAAATCCGGCACAAAGAGGGGCAAGGACGGAGTGCTGGCGGTGGGAAGCGGAGGGAGGGTTGCCGGAGACCTTACGACGGTGACGTGGGAACGGAAAAGACATGTTGAGAAGGATGAATATTTTGTTTTTGGCGTGAGAATAAGCGGGTATGTTGTGGAATCGGCAATGCGTGAGAAGTGGCGCTACAAGTTCTGCGAGGGGAGAGTGAAGGTGAGGTATGTCGTCTTAAATTGCAAAGGAAGCTTCTCGGAAGGTGGGTGAAAGCTTCCTGGCACAAGTGGGACCTCACTCAAGACTACAATACAAATTACGTTCCCACATATCCTCAGAGGCAGAGCTCCCAGAATTACATGCCACTTTATGTAGTACCTTCGAGATGAGACCGCAGAAGGATTTCTAAAATGAAAATCATTTCTACAACGTAAATTTTATTACCGTTGATGTCAAATATTTAAAAAGTTTTTACTCAAGAGCGTTAAATATTTAGAAGTTATTTTGAAAGTAAATTTGTCACGAATTTAAAATCATTACAATATTGTCCACTTCAATAAAAAATTTTAACAGTATTTTAATAGTCAACGATAGTTTTTTTGCTACAGAGAATAATATTGCTACATTTTTAAATTTTTGAAGTAAATTTGCTCCTAAAAAAATTTCCAAATACCCAATGCTCTTAAATCAAAACTTCCAGCATAAATATGCATTTTGACTCATCACAAATTTTTTACAAATTATGAGCAGCACCATTTAGTTTTCAAAATTCATAAAACACATGAAAAATATTTCCAGTTTTCTAATTTTTTTGAATTGTTTAATTATGAAATGTTAGGTCCTTTATCAATTTTCTATTGAATATATACGTTAATATTTTATAAAAATTATTGACATTTACCTATTACAGGATATCAGTCTTTGCTTCTATACACACAAATATCAAGTACATTGCATTAAAATACTATTTCCGGTTCTATTTATAACATCTTATTTATAATATATAGATAAGGTCTCATAAATGAGATTAGAGGTAGTAATAAACATTGCATAACCCATTTGTTATCGTGGACCCGGAGATCAGGTCGGATTAGGGTGGAATTGTACCGCTTGATTTTGTCTTTGTTTTATTTCTCGGATCTTATTCGAGCCAAGTGAGTAGTGCTCTGGGGGCCCAAATCCATAAACAAAGTTCATTTGAGGCCCAAGCAAATCATGCGCGGTCCCAAACATTACGTATGAGGCGGTCTGTCAGTATCAAAGAAAAAAAAGATTCTATACAGGTGCAAGTTAAAAATTCACCTTGATCATAAATATAAAACTCTTAATTTATTTTATTTTTTATATTGATTTATTTTGTTTCTCGGTAATCTCTACAGTAGTTACAATAATTATTTCAATACATATGATTATAACAAGGGAAAACTTATATAACAATCCTCATAGTTTTATTAGATTTTGAATCAAATCGTTGTAATTTTTGTTTATTCAATCCTTATTATTTACTCAACTATTTTTTGTTAGTCCTTGCATTAGCATAAACTGTTAGTTTAAACGGATTAAGCACATAAAAGGACAGCATGATTCTACCACTTCTTCTCTCCCAGTTGCTTCCGCTCTCTCTCTAGTCAAAATTACGAGAAAGAATGTCTTCACAAAAACTCTTCCTAGGTGAGAGCAAAACATTCTTGCAAGACAAACCACTCAACTTATTATTCCTCGTTCATTTTCACTCTGAAACATTCCATTGTCATCTTCTTCACTACCCATCATCTACAAAATCCAAGACAATAAATAGCGAAAATCACAAACTGCACATATTCTTCCTCCCATTCCCTCTTCACCGCCACATTATACCAATATACTCCTCCGGTCCTTATTATAAGACCCAATTTGACTTTTTATTTGGTCCTAATTATAAGACCCAATCCATTTTCTCTCTTATATTTATGCATTTTTTTTCCAAGATAATCCTTCTAATAATGATAGTTTTAGCCAATATACTTAATTAGCAAGGATATTTTAGGAATAACAACATTTATTTATTATAAATAACCAACTTAACTTACTTCCTTAATTTTCTCAAATAAGTCAATTGGGTCTTATAATTAGGACCGGAGGAGTAGTTGATATGGCTAGAATTTTTTGCTGCAAGAGGTGTCAGATCCACCATTGTCAGCACCCCCTCACCGATCATTGTCAGAATTTTTTAGGCTCTGTAAATACTCGCTTCTCTGTTGCTTCAGGGGAAGAATGAGTAGAGTGTGCAGGACGAAGTGTTGATGATGGACATAGAAAGGTTGAAGGAAGATTAGAAAACATTGGAGGAAGAGCTTCAAGTGATGAATAAGAGATTGGAGACCATTGAGTCGTGGAGGACCCAAACGTCCTTTCTCATGTTTTGCCGGAGAAAGAGCAGAAGCAACTGGGAGAGAAGAGAGGGGGTTTCGATGTCCTTTCCGTGCTCAATGTAATGCCCCATCAGTTAATCAGTTTAAACTAACGGCTTATGTTAATGACAGGACTAACAAAAATAGTTAAATAAATAGCAAGGATTAAATTAAAAGGAAAAATAATATAGGGACCTGATTCGAAATCTAATAAAACTATAAGGACCATCATACTACTTTTCCCTCGTAACAATGACATTTTTAAAAAGACAATATATATTTATTACAAATAACTAAATGAACTAATTTTTTTAATATTAATAAATTAGTTATCTAATTTTATATTAAGAACCAGAAACAGTTTTTTTTTCTTTTGGAAAAAAAGGTGAAATGCTCATAATAAACCTCCTCATTGATGCTGAATCGCATCTCATCCAATGCAATGACATAATGCCTGCATTGCTCAGGTTCCGTTTATCTTTGAATGCTTAGGTTGCGGTTAAAGATTTTTATTCTTCATTATTTTATACGCATTGCTTCTTTTGCAGTTTTTTTTTTTTTGGCCAGAGACTTCTTTTACAGTGTTACCTGGTTCCTTTGAAAGAGGAAAGGCAATATGCCAACACAGACGATATAAATAACATGCCTGATTCCTTGATTAACTATTTAGCTGCTTCAATCGCAGGGATTATTTCACCAGCAAGTTTTTTTCATTCACATAAACTCATTCAAATTCAAAACTCTATGTTTAAGTGGTCAGAACCCTTTAACTATTGCTGGTATCAATATTTATTACTATTTCCGATCCTAATTATAAGAGTTAGTTAACTAATTTGAGGAAATTAGAGATAGAAGTTAAGTTAGTTATTTATCATAAATAGATGTATTTCCTAAAATATTATTGCTAATTAAGTGTATTGGTTAGAACTACTATTGTTAGAAGGACTATATTGGAAAAAAATACATAAATATTAGACACAAAATAGATTAAAATATTATATTTAGGATCAAAATAAAAGTCAAATAAGATCCTACGTTAAGAACCGTAGGTAGTAGTTCGTAACTTCTTCATTTCGCTTTGGTTTAATCTTTTTTTTTTTATATGCTGGAAAGAAAAGTACAAATAAAACGAAAAAACTACTGGTTTAATCTTTGCTAAGATTAAATTATTTCTGTTAGGTCTTTTTTGGCCAGTTCAATATATATATATATATATATGTGTGTGTGTGTTGTGTATACATACGTGTGTGTGCGCGCGCGCGTACAGGAAGACCCAAACAATATGCTTGACAGAGTAACTAACCATCCCTTATGACACACGGACCGAGTAAGGAGACTGAAAACACAGACGCAAAATGACAAACCATATGTGCATGGGCCAAATCATACAGATTTTAACCAACGTGATTTGAGAAAACAATATCTTGAATAAGATTGTTTTTAATATAAAAATATCTATACATAACTAAAAAAATCACACATCTTATTCACAAAAGTACACAAATGTTTTAATGAATACTCCTCCAGTCCTAAACACAGGACCCACTCTTTTTTTTTTTGGTTACAAAGAGGACAAAACGCCCAAAACAAAATAAACTAAGTAGATGGGGATTTAGATCCCAGACACTCTTCAGAAACTAAGCTCCTCAAATGAGAAGGACATGTAGTCAAAAAAGCGGTCTTGGATAACCCATCCCTTGCAAGAGAATCTGCTACTCGGTTTTGCTGTCTAGATACATGCAAGACTTTCACCTCCCACTGGAGCTTTAGCATATTCATAACCTGAATAATCACGAGACTATACATGGACTTGTTCCTATTTCCAACAATCATGTCAACCACATTTTTTGAATCAGATTCAAGAATTATCTTCTTAAACCCCATATCCCAAGCCAATTTGAGGCCTTTATACACAGCTCATTCCTCTGACTCAAGAACGCTACATGAACCAAGGCCTTTAGGATCGGAGGAGTACTTCAGAATTAAACAAAGGAGGGATATGGAGACTTATATGCCATAAAGGATTAAAGTTGATGAAACGTTCCAACATTTAGCTGCTGAAAGAACAGAATTCTATGCAATCTTCTTAGCTTTTAACTCGGTGTCACCGGCTATGGCTGAATTATTCTTTTTTTTTTTTTTAAATCATTGTTCTGATAATAATTTTAAGCTTATATGTAGAAAAAATAAATGATATTTATGGTACTCTCACCCGGCGTAGATCACTTCTAGAGTAATCGGTGGGCTTTAATTAGCAAGGTACTTTTTGTAAAACAAAAAATTAAAATGGTTAGAACAAAAGTTTAGCAATAAGTCAGCCGAACCAGTCTTAGCTATAGAAATTAAACTTTATCATGCAGTAAAGATTTAATTCTGTATAATATAATTTCCTTATATCAAATATTAAATACGCAACAAACTTCACCTTCCGTAAGTCTATACAATAGATGGGAAAAAAATAATGTGTATTTTTCCAATAAAATTTCGTTACAGGACAATATGTAACAATTAAATTTGCATTATTATATTTTACATCTTAATAAAGAATTTAAACTAGCTAATATATACTACCCTCAGTCCTTAATATAGGAATTCATTTGATTTTTATTTTAATTGTAAATATAAGACTCCAATTTACTTTGTCTCTCATCTTTATCTATTTTTTTCTAATATAGTCCTTATAATAATGGAAGTTATAGTCAATATACACTTGATTAATAATGGTATTTTAGGAAAAAAACAATATCTATTTATTATAAATAACCAACTTAATTAATTTTTTTAATTTATTTAAATTAGTCAATTAGTTTTTATATTAAGTACATAGTACAAGAGAAATGTTAAAATGAGACTGGCCGGTGAGAAATATCTGCCTGAAATGTGAGTATTTGATAGTTTACTCTAGAGAAGTGGTAGTCCCTAGAGGATACCAGCTGAGGGCAGAGGCCACCTCATCAGCAGAGCCAGATCCAATCATCTTCCTGGCTACCTGTTTGAAGAACGACATGTGTGTAAGTTATGGGAACCACATGAGAAGTTGTAGTGGGGAAATTAATAGCTGTAAGGTGTTAAATTATAACAGTTGTACTCCCGTCATATGATATTTCATGGTCGTCAAGGCCCTACGGCCTACGCCTTCTGTCTTGCCCTCTTCATATCTTATTACTTTTCCGATTCTAAATATAAGACCTTTATAAGATGAGAGGAGTATATGGCTGGTAATTAAGCTGTGCAGTGTGAATCTTCCGGAAGTTTGAAGCAGGCCAAGGCAATATCCCTCCTCTATAGTTACAGAACCAAGTACCGTAGAACAAATAAAAGTTGCCGTAAATTGCTTTCCTACGCCAAAAAAGTGTCACCTTCATTATTCTCCCCAGCAGGAAAGTCATTTTGATGCTTAATTAGTCGAACTGAGCTGCCTCAATTCCCTTTTTAAGGTTTTTCTATATTCCACTTTTAAATTTAACCAGTTTTTGGGCCTGGTTTTTCACATAAAATATGAAACCATCCAGCTATATTACATTATGAATCACTTATGAATGGACTACTAGAGTAACTTTTTTTTTCCCTCTTTTACTTTATTTTGTATATATTAATATATTAATGATTCTTACAATAACAAAACGCACGCTCCCATCTTTTTCAAACTTAATTACCGACAGCATGGTGGTATATAAATTTAAATGAAAACGCCTCCAACTTCTTCAGTCTTAATCCGTCCTCAATTACATTGCAACAATATCTGTATTAAGAATCCTCGTGTTTCAATCACGTTCAAGATGGGGTCCCGGGAAAGAAATATAGTTTACTATCAGTCAAGGATATGCCCCTAATTACTGGGATCCATGTGACTAATCAGCTAGACGTTGACCAGGAAGATATGAAGAATGAATGAAGGATGGCAATTTGCGGTCAAAAGCAGCACGTTATATGATTGGAAAGCGACGGTGAAAACGTTGAAACCAAGTCAAAAAGAGATGGCAGATAGCTATAGATGGATGCAAAGAAACAAACAAAGCAAGACCCACATTGTAATTTTTTTCACTTTTGTTACTTTTTAATGAAAATCCGATCAGCCTTCGTTTAAAGGTGCTTTTGCGAAAGCAGCCGGGCATGGCCATCAACAGTCACCGATGATATTGCTAGCTGCACTGATCTCTGATGCAACGGATGATTATTATTATTATCATTGCTTTTGGCACAATAGAGGCCATCCATCAGGACACTACTCGATGCATTTTGAAGTCCGCATGCAAATCAGTTCGCACCATCCTCTCTGTGTGTGTCACACAGTATATAACACTGTGCATATATCAATCTTCTCTTCTCCCCACAAAGCCAAAGGTGACAACTTTTTCTTGCAATAGCGATATTTAGTCCACTTACCAAATCATTTGCCTCCCATCACATCATCATCGCCGCACTCATCACTCATCTCTGTGGGGGCTGCCCACTCTTCACCTTCATATCATCTCATCATCTCCCTCTCTCTTCTCACTCTCATCATTTCATTATTTATACATCTACGTACGTATCCTTATATATACAACTCTCTGCAACTAATTCGGCTGCTGTATTTGGCAGTGATACTGAGACGATCGAGCCTATTTTGCTGCACCCGTATTTGCTGTCCTCCATTATTATGTCTCTCTCTCACAATATGAATATGATCAGTTGGATATTGGGAAGGAAGAAGGCAGCGTGGTGAATTCATCTGTAAGGAAGATTAAAATTTGCAGAAACATTATAGGTCATAATGCACGTATGGGTCCTGCAAAAGAAGATTGGTCTGCAAGTCTCGAAAGGTTTTTGTTCAATGATAGGTCATGACGAGGAAGACGTTGCCCTTCGCAGTTCAACAGTAGTGTGCTCGTGAGTGATGAAGAACTCAGAACAAAGGGAAGATTGTGTATAATACAATACGAATGATTATGAGGAATAAACAAGAAGTTGGCAGAGAGTTGATTATTAGGGATTAATGCGCATTATAATACGCTCATAATGAGGAGATAGAGATGAGTCAAATGAAAGATATTGAAGTAGACATGATAGATTATATTGGAGAGGTGCGTAAACGTCAATTTGGTGATCAGATCATTGACAGCATAGCAGGCAACAGCGTGAAGGGAGTAAATGATTAAAAGAGGGTGCCAAGTTAAAGATGCTTAGTCGCTTAATTATGGTTGCCAAGTCATGCTTCTCTTCTCAAGCCTGCTCTTCCATTGGACTCTGATCCGAAACAACACCCTTTTCCTCCATGACAACGACGTCCATCATATCTCTCTCTCCTTAATTCCTTAACATTAATTGACAAGCATCCAAAATATGCCCTTCCTCCCAGCTTTTCTGTTTAGGATTCCCTTTCATTTCACTTCTCAACTTTTACAAACCCCACCCCTATTTTCAGTCTATTCCTTCCCTAGTAAGAGTCATATTTCTAAACTTGTTTAATTTACCAACTTCATAGTAATATCATTAATTTATTGGATGCCCAAGTTAATTTTATGAGTTAAATATCAACTCAAGGGTCATTATATTAGTGATTACAGATTCACTCCATAAATTATTGGCTGGTCAAACAGAATTAACGCGGGAGCCATATCATGAACGAATAGCTGATTTAATAGCTCTTTCTTAGGCGGAAAAAAGAAGAAGAAGCTGATTAATAGCTCTTTCATCCCAAAACAAACATCATTGTCTGCCATCAAGTGTCCAACGTCATCTCTGTGTTGTTCTAATTATAAGAGCAAATTGACTAATTTGAAGAGATTAAGAAAAGAAGTTAAGTTAGTATTTTAATCATAAATAGGTGTTATCCTTCTTAAAATATCCTTACTAATCAAGTGTATTGGTTAGAATTATCATTGTTAGAAAGACTATCTTGGAAAAAAATACATAAATATTAGAGACAAAATGGATTGGAGTCTTATATTTAGGACCAAAATAAAAATCAAACGAGATCCTATATTAAGGATCGGAGGTAGTAACTAGTTACCTCCTCCTCCCTCCAATCTAGATATTTGTCATTTTAATTAGCTTTCCTAGTATATACTTCTTTGGTCTTTAGTTATATTTATATGTCATTTTATTAAATTTTTAATCTCAATATATTATTTTATCATTTATTTATTATTATGTTGAGTATTATTTTTTAAAAAGTATATGTATCAAATAAAAATAGAATTATTAAATTTTAAGATATAGGGTTAATGGGTTTTAAGTTTTTTTTTCAAAGGGAAGGAACAGAAGAGTATGTCACCGCTTGGAAGTGACGTTAGAAATTGGGGAAAATTTAGTACGAGAGTAGAGTAGTAAAGAACTAAGAAGGACATAAAATGGGATTAATAAATTGGGAGAATTATAATAAAATTTTAAGAAAATAAAAAATTATAAAACAAATCTTAAAACTTATCATTTTTTATTCTAGAACTTATAATTACAAGTTATTTAGATTGTTATTAGAATTTTTTAATAATTATTTGTCTTCAGCATGACTTGATTATAATTTCTCTGATAAATTGCTTACATATGTTGAGAGGATATAAAAGGGGCGTCAGGCATTTGAAAATTCCCGCAAATAATTGCGAAGCAGCAAGGCGCATCACAGCATCTCGCGAACAAAACGCCCCCCTTCTCCTCCACCCATATTCGTTTTTGCCTCCTCGCTTCCAATAATCGCTCCGAGCCATTGTTTCTGTTTCCCGGCGACATGCTGCCCTACCAATCTTTGCAGGAAGCTGAGGCGGCTCTCGGCCGTAACCTCACCTTCTCCGAGACCCTCTGGTTCAATTACTCTGCTCGCAAGTCCGATTACTTTCTTTATTGCCATAACATACTCTTCCTCTTTCTCATTTTCTCCCTCCTCCCCATTCCTCTTGTCTTCTTGGAGATCAAGCGCTTAGCCGGCTTCGACAAGTACAAGATTCAACCCAAGGTTCGTCTATCTTTGGACGAAATGCTTAGGTGCTATAAGGATGTCATGCGCATGTTCCTTCTAGTCGTTGGACCTCTGCAACTCGTCTCATATCCCTCCATCAAGGTATGTTTGTGGCAGATTGCTAAATTGCTCGAGTGCGCTTGATTCAGTTTAAAATCTTACGGAATCTGATTCTTTGCCTATGCATTGACTCCCAATTTCTTTTGCGCGTACAGGATTTAGAAGATGGTTTGCCTTTGCATTTTTCTTTTCAAATGTTTCTTGATTTTATTATGCTGCGATCCCCCTGACCAGTGAGATCTCTGTTAGTAACCCAAGATGTAGTATCATGTATCTCCAATCACATCCGGATAATAATCTTTTCCGACTTTTATTTCGATGCACTTTGTTATTTCAGTTTAGAGCTTATTTGCTATCTTTCCAAGTTTTAGAGAGAGCAGGGGAGTCGGATATTCGGATCTTGTACATGGCTTACTTCAATTAAATATCACATTATGGAATGACTGGCGGTTTTGAACTGAATTACCTGTTTCAATCTGTTACAGATTATTGGAATCCGGACGGGGCTGCCATTGCCGTCGGGATGGGAGATTCTTTCACAGCTGGCGGTGTATTTTATGATAGAGGACTATACCAATTACTGGATTCACAGGTTTCTGCATTGTAAGTGGGGTTACGAGAAGATTCATAGAGTCCACCATGAATACACAGCTCCCATTGGATTTGCGGCACCCTACGCCCATTGGGCGGAGATATTGATCCTTGGAATTCCATCTTTTCTTGGACCAGCTATTGTTCCTGGGCACATGATTACATTCTGGTTGTGGATAGCATTGAGGCAGATTGAGGCGATCGACACGCACAGCGGGTAATGCTCGACATTCCGCATCTTTCTCACTACCTTTTATTTTCTTATTTTCTGCTTCACTCGATTTTTCCCGAACGATGCCGACCTCAGAGTTCCTTTCGTTGATATTCCTAAATGCAATTCTATTAGAGGCATTAACCCTCCCCCCCACCCAAAAAAAAAAAAAGAAAGAGAAAAAGAAAAGAGTCTATGTAAGCCACTTTAGACTGGAAAACTCTCCAAATGACGGTTGGTCTAGTCTTTATTTCCTGGTATCGAAATTTCGCAACAGATTCCTTAACAAAAATTAGAAATGCAGGGGGAATTTTTGACATTAGAAGTCACTATACAGATTTTTACTTCTAAAACGGTTGTCTAGTGTTGTTTTGCTGGAAACCTGTTGATTCTATCATCTGGCATCATGTTCACGATCATATGCTGGGGTTTTACAAAGTACATGACCTCTGGGTCTCTATTCTTGTGTGGCCTCTGCAGTGCCTGACTTTTTGATATTGTTTTTCTCGTCAGGTATGACTTCCCCTGGAGTATTACAAAGTACATTCCGTTTTACGGTGGCGCAGAGTATCACGATTACCATCATTATGTTGGAGGATATTGCCAAAGCAATTTCGCATCAGTTTTCACGTACTGTGATTACATCTATGGAACTGACAAGGTTGGATCATGAATCTGGAATTCTTCGGCGATATAAATAACTTCATAGTTCTTTCAAGGTGTTCAATCATGTTGAGATAATTTACTTTTGTTGTCACAGGGTTATAGACATCAGAAGAAAATCCTTCAGAAGGTATATATCTACATCTTATAAAAATTAGTGGCTAATTTCTTTAATCATGTTTCTGTCCATGTTTCTGGTGATAGAGATGCTTTTGTCTATTGTCCTTATTTTAACCTCTTCCCTCTGAAGTTGAATGAAATTTGATCATTTTACACAAGTAATAAAATAGAAATTAGTTGCATGCATCCCAGTAACATTATTATGCATAGATACTTTAATCTAAGATTGAATACATAATTTATTTATGCTTGAAAGTAGCGACATTCTGCAGCAACTATCTTTTTTCTTTTCCTTAACCCTACTTTTGGCGGCGTGTTTTAGTTGAAGGAGGAGTTGAAGAACCGCGTTGAACAGAATGGAGGGTCGTACAACAACCAAAATGACAAGTTTGACTGATTATGGGGCGGCATCTGCAGCTTAGGTGTGTTATTCGAATCTTTAAGTTGGCGCGGACACAGGTGCCAGTGAAAAATAGACGCCTTCAGTAGCTTGAGGAGGTTAAGATTAGAACGGCGTTTCTGTTGTCTAGAAGGGGCAGGTAGTGAGTCCAAAAAAAAAAAAAAAAAAAAGAAGGGGCAGGTAGAACCTGTGACTCCGTGCGAGTAATAGGGAGGAATTTGTACTGTAGTCAAGAAATAGAATTCGAACTACTTTTTTCTGTTTTTGTTTGCTTCGTGTTTTGATCAGAGTCTCACTTTGTGGGTCGTTAGTTCTTAAATACGAAGAGAGGCTGCTTCTCCAAAATGATTTAGGTGTTATGATAAACTAGACTCCATTGACTGGCATCCGTGAACAAGTAACCATCGATATGCGGTCTGTCACATATATGGACGAGTATGTGGCGGGGCATGATGACTCACCGGCGGTTCTCATCGGCTTCCACGAAGTTCTGAGGAAGCTGAAGTCTTTTGGTTAATTGTTTTGTATTGGGGGGGGGGTGACTCTGGCGTATATTGCAGCGTTGAGAGCTTTAAGTCAAACTTCTCTCCGTAATTACAGAGTTGGAGTTATTATTGGTGAGAACTATTTACGTATGAGTTGATGATTTCTCATGTTTACGCGACTAGGTATACCTGTCCGATCTCTGTCATCAATTTTTCTTTTGGGGACGTAAAAGAGAATCTATTTGCGAGAACAGAAGGCAAGTATCCTCGTTGCTTTTTTAGCAAGTCGAGCATATCTTATATAGTATCGCAAGGGGCAGGGTGAGGCACGGCAGCTGCCCGTCTAGCTCAGTCGGTAGAGCGCAAGGCTCTTAACCTTGTGGTCGTGGGTTCGAGCCCCACGGTGGGCGCCTTGATGTTTTTGAGAAAAAATATTTAATTTATTTAAAACAGTATGACGAGAGGAACATGTGGGCCTATTGTGTTGGGAAACAAAACGAGGCCCAAAACGAGGGAGGGAATAGTATGATTAGAGTAATAGGGTTAAAGGTGACATCGAGCCATAAAACGAGGAGATAGGTGGGTAGGCCGTAGCCCCCTAGTGAAGGGGATAGTGCAAAATATAAGGCCCAGGCGGGACAGGAGACGTGAACAGGGAAAGGGTGAGAGCCATGACTGGGGCCGGCGACGATGTGCGCTTCAACTCTCCAGTTGTGACGGCTAATCTCCTTTCATTCCATTTATGTACGTATCTGGGCCACTTTCATAAAGTGTTTTTCTTTTTGAAGGCATCATTAGTGGTATTGCCAGCTTCTCGTTCCTTGCCGTACACGTGGACACCCTTCCATCCCCTTCTAGTAGAGCTGGTAATATGAGTTGAACCTGTAGGCTTAACTCGCCAACCGGTCATAAAGTAATGAGTTGGGTTAAAAAAAATAGAGACTATTTTGATGCGGTTATTTTCAGCCCGCACCCACCAATCCACAGCTCCCCACAAGCTAACCCGCTAGGCCTTTGTTTTATTTTTTAAAATTTTTTTATAATTTTATTTTAATTTTAATGAGAAAAAGTTTTATCATTTTCACTTGATTTACATATAACTTTATATTTTACATATCACTTTATATTTTATTAGAAACTTTAATTCTAAATTTGATTTCTCATTTTCTTTATTGTTTTTACTACTTTTGTACTAATAAAATCACTGTTAACAATAAATTGTATATTTATATTTGGGAAAATTGTAAATAAAAACCCCCAGCATGTAAAATTACGACTTGAGACTCTTAATTTGAAACATAGCAAATAAGAACCCTATCTCACTTTTGCAAATATGAAATCATGATAAAATGTCCCTCAGCCAAATGATAAGTTGATTACGGAAAATAACAAATTCACTTTACCGAATGATAACTTCAATAGACCAATAAGTAATACAAGATTGAAACCAGAGATTCAACATTGATTCTGATTATAAAACTTTAAACGAATTTTTATAATTAGGACCGAAAGATAATATTATGTATTACCCGGTTTGCTTTTAACTATCGGGCACACATACATGTACACGTTGTGTTTCACTGTGCGAACTCACCCCTTTTTGATTTGATGTTTTTGTTTTTGGGGGGGTTGTGGGGGACTGGCGGAGAGGATGCTGTCCTTAATAGTGGATGCTAAATCAACATCCTTCTGGCTCCTTGATTGGTGCCACTGAGTACCTGATATTACGGGCCTATACAAAGAAGTCTACGTTTGACTATAGTAGTACTAGTACTACGATAACGAAAAATACACAAAAACAGTCTTCATTTTAATCTTTTCCATTCAAAGTATTTATTTGGTAATTAAAGAAACTCCGTCCCTTATTCTCTATCAAGCTTTAGACTCATTTAAAATGATTTATAAGTATTTTTTTATTTAAAATAATTTATAAACATCTTGTCAATCATTATTTATCATGTTAAATCAATTTTATCTTGACTTATATTAAACATGTTTATAAATTATTATTCAATTTTTTTACTATTAGTATTAACAAATCAGGCTGACCATCCTCCTGGCACCCCACCCTTGACCTATAAGGGGCAAAAAAAAAGAAGAATACGTATTTTTTTATTGGATTTCAAAATCTTGCCTTACAAGATTTGGACCAGATGAATCCTACATTTCTCCTCGATTTAATTATCAATAAATTTTTTATTCAATGGCACTTTGTACTTTCTCTCATTAAGAAGATTGTGGGTTCTGCATTCTATGGTGACAAAACTGGGGGGAATCCGGTCCCCTCCCCTTTGAAGAGAGTAGGGTTTTTAAACTGCTAACTAAACCAAACAGGAAAAAACAAAAAATCTTCAGTCGTCCATGAAATAATTATAATGGCATTAGATTAGCCCAACATGCAAATGAGATAGTAAATGTCAGATGCAGGGAACAGCCCTGAATCGAAAATTATCGATATTAAATCATCATTTTTAATATTCAAAACTTGCTTTTACACATCGTCTTCAATGCAAGTTGTTGAAAGTAAAATAAACGATTAAAAAAAATTAAAACTGAGGTAAGTAAAAACTGGGATAGGCTGGGTCTAAAGGGGAACCAGGGCCAAAAAGGACCACAGTGTAGCTGATATAGGGTAATTGATGAAACTTGACAAGTGAATAATGGCGGAAATTAAAATAAAATTGTGGCATCAAATACTAATCGTTGCTGCACCATGCATCTCCATATCGTCTTTATTCTTGTAATTATCTTCATCACTGGAATAATTTATTGTTATTGCATTAATTGCAAATGATTATTTAGATTAAGAGAATGTATGCAAAACAAATACACATAGCAATTTTTTTATATTAAAAAAAAGACAGACAATGAGGCTTAAAAGCATTAATGCTTCGTATGGCTTAAGAGAAAACATTTCATGCACGTACTACAACGAACAGTTTCAGTTATTTTACTTTCATAACAGATAACCCAGCATAATACTACATCCAGTCTTTAATATACGACCTAATTAACTAATTTAAGAATATTAAAAAAATCAGTTATGTTAGTTATTTGTTATAAATAGATATTGTATTTTTCAAAATATCCGTACTAATCATGTATATTAGTTAAAATTATTATTTAATAAAACATTTAACATGATTAACTATTATAAGGACTGCTTTAAAAAAAAATATGATAGATAAAGTGGATTTGGGTCTTATATTTAGAACCAAATTGAAAATCAAACAAACTCTTGTAATCTAATAAAGGACGGAGGTAGTGATCAATATTTATTGACATATTGTAGAGTTTTAGAGAATAGCAAAGGTAGGGTTATTGATCACTTATAAATAGTATAGTTTGCTAAAAATTTTATATCTTACTGTCATGATTTCTCATGCCTTGCACAAATAGACGAGATATATCGTTTACTATTCAAAACTCAAATGATTTTCAATGGATTACGTATATTAATGACATCACTTACTTGTGACAATGTTGGAATTCATGATCTTTAATAGTTTAATATTACCTCCGGTCATAATTATAATGCTTCATTTATAGACTATAAACAAGGTTTTATAAGTATGATAGGAGGTAGTATATCATACTCGAAACTATTCATAATTTAACGAACGTAAACGTGACCTGCGACAATCCCGTAAATCAATCTGCAGGGAATTTGAAAAGTAACAAGGTTGACTCAGTGCACCGTTTGTGACGCAAGAATCATGGTGTGTGAGAAGGGGAAAAGCTTAAAGCTTAGAAAATTACAGGTCAAAGAGGCACGTGCTTGGCATTATCAAAGAAGAAGACAGCAACCCCCATCCTCGTATATTCAAACATCTTCTTTCAGATGATCTTGGGGCAGTAAGTGAATGAAAATCATCCATATTTAATCCTTGGCAAATTACAATTATATGTTCAGGACAAAGAAAAACTCATAAGAGGTTGGGCCTCAAGATCCGACAGGAATCAAGTGAACTTAAATGTGTTAAACAATCTGGGGGGTTAGTTTAGGAGTTGGAATTAAATTAACAGAAAATTAAACTTGTTAATACCTCCAATTTTTTAGATAAGATTTACTTTCTAATACGAAGAATTGGTGAAGGTAGTTATTAAAATATGAGCAGTTGGCAGTAGCGAAACGGATTTCGTCCTTCCGGATTTGGCCAACATCTGGGTAAGTACAATGGGCAACATAGAGTTGTTGGATATGGTGATGGATTTGGGTAAATTAAACAGTTGGTGGACAAGGGCAGGCCTACTAAGGTATTATTTAGTTTGGTGGGTTTTAGTGTATCGTCAGAGCAAACCCATCTGCCACTTCAATTAACGCCCAGCTCCTAAGCTCCCTATTAACAAAATACTATTATTCATTGCAGCAAAATTGGAATTAATAAAATGGAAACAACAGTTTATGCTACATGTGCATCCACCTTACCTTAACCTGTTTTCATTATGAAAATTTAGCTATTATTATTTAATTATACCTGAAATGTCGTTGCCTATAACAATCTGCTGTATTAAAAACTGACTTGTACTGAACTTCTTAGGAGTCATGTCCAGATAATTTTTGTGGCATTTAATACTTGATCAGGAATCCCCTAAACTTTTGAACTAAAATACAGTATATAAATATCATATTTTTGAACTAAAAAAGCCTCAATGTATTTCGAATCCATTTCTTTTTCTTCCCATCTCTATTGTATTTCTTGAATGTATACTAAAAGACGACAGATGGGGCTGTGAGCGATGGAACCCCAATAATTTTGACATGTTTACGGCAACAAATGATTAAGAGGAGGGGGTCATTATGAGTCATTATAGCAAAACGTATTGTAATTACGATAGGAACACCGACTCAATACCATGATTCAAATTTGCAATTATAAAAGCGTGTGCCCCTCGTGGCATGCTCTCTTGTTATTTTTCTTACCGTTATGGTTTTCTGCAATCTCCTGATGATACATGGTGATCACTGTCTCGAATTTTTGCAAATTAATAATATAGTAAGAAAAAAAATACAGAGGGCTCTTACAGTCTTGCGATATTACTTATTAGGGCTTCAAAACTTCAAATTCACGAGCTTGAGGTCCCTGAGTAAACACAAATACATAGCGGGGACCTGTATTGGAGATTGGAAATTTGTGGGTAGGCTTCTTGTGGATATTGGAATTAAGAGCGGTCATGGAGGTCACAAGTATACC